AGCTCTCCAAGTGATTCTAATGTGCAGCCTGAGTTGTGAACCATGTAAGAGCAGAGGTACTGGAGTCCAGCGGTGCCTGGGCTCAAGTCCCAACTATGTCAATTAAGTAGCTGTGTGATCTTAGGCAAGTTAATTAGCTTTTCTGTGCCTCATCTCTAAAATGGGGATATTAATAGTCCTTCCTTGTAGGGTGGTTGGGAGAATCACCTGAGTTAACAACTCATGGCAATAGCTTTGAACAGTTCTCTGCACAGTAAGTGCTGTATAAATGTTACTATTGTGATGATTAGCAGCATGTGCTGGATTTTTCCTCCCTCCTGCTCTCCCTCCCCAAGTGCCTAAGCTGGGAGAGGAGTGTGGCTTCCTGTGCCCCACCCCCCTCGTTTTCCCTTGAGAAGGGTACAGAACTCTTCAGCACCCTTCTCGGGCTCAGCAAGCCCTGCCAGCCTTAAGGCAGGTAAACCGAGAAGCTAAGCTGTTGCCACTGCAATGGTGAGCATAGCATCCTGCATCTTTAGAGATGGGGAGACCGAGTAGCTCTTTGGGGTAGTGAGAGGAAGGGAGATCCCCCTTTGGCCTCACAGAGAATTGAGATACAACCTATTCTATATCACAGCAGCAGGATCTGCACACATGCCTTGCAATTCCTTCAGGAAGCCTTTCCTGATCTCAAATTTCTCTGAGCTCCTGTATTATCAACATGGTCCTAAATTACCTGCTGCCTTTTCTATTTATTTATTTGCCTTCTGTGTTTTCTCTCCTTCAGACAGTAGGTTCTTTTAGAGGCAAGGACTACGTCTTCTTGGAGAAGTATCAGTAAAAGCAGGGAGGAGAAAATGAAGGAAAATGGGATATCTTCTTTGGATTATAGATACCTCCTTAATGCTTAAAAGTTTATATATGTGTAGTGGGAAATGACTCTGCTTCTTTAACCCCCTCTTCATCTCTCCCCATACTACTATATCCCTAAAACACCCCTAACCCTAAGTACCATTTTCATGGGGAAAAATAGCATGAGTGTTCTTTCTCCTGCTTTTACAGCAGGTTAATAAATTGCCACTATTACAGGGTATTCCAGCTTATATTGATGAGGCAGGTACAGAAATAAGCTAATGGGTAGTTCCTATAAAGAGATGTTTCCCATGCATAGAAGTGCTACTCTGTAGGAGAGGAGATTTAGCTTTTTCAAGCCTACTAGGATAGATGGGGTGGGGGGAAGAATAAGGAATAACATAATAAAGTAATTAAACTATAAAACAATTGCTGACAAAATTTCTACAAAATTTTCTCCCTGTTCTCCAACATTAAAATAATCATGATTTGAATAGACTGCATCTGTGTTCTCTTTTTTTACCCCTCTTTTCTGCAAATTTATGATTTGGATCCCAAAACTTAAAGATCTTTTTAATAAAATGTATTAGGCAAAAACATATTTAAAGCCCCTTCTGTTTCTTAAGTTAGAAGACGTGGTATTAAGAGTTAAAACTATGACAATAAACGGCCTAATTTCAATGGCACTTGGGCTTAGTTTTAAAATATAGAAATGAACATGGTGACTAAAAATTCTGGGTAGGTGGGGCCTGATCTCATGTATATATCAGTGGTGTCAAAACATGAAGCTATCTTGTTAGCAAGTATCTAGATGCCAGAAAGGGGTCATTCTAGATTATGATTTCTCCTGGCTGAGTTCATTCATTTCTGCCAAAGAAGGGAATCCTGAATTTTAAGCCTTATAAGCTAGAAATAAAATTAGCTTTAAACCTAAAAATTATTCTAGAGAGATACTGCTTTGTTGGTTGAGGCTATTATAACTGTTACATACATAAATAGCTTATTTTATTGGTCTGATTAAATGATCCCCATGTGTCCTTCTGAAACTTTCTGCAATCATTCCTCATTGACTACCATCTCAGCCAGAAGAAAAGAAAAAGTGATGAACTCCAGGCTTCTTCATCAATGAGCTCAGCCAATAAGCCAATAGAGGGTTCAGTAGGCACCACTGACCTTCCCAGGAAAGCTACTAGCATGAAAACTGAAGAAACATGGCACAGAAACACAGCAGTAAAATTCAAGAGACTAAAATAAACTCGGCGAGCCTGCCTGGTCGCTAAACACTGAATACATTTAAGTGCTATTTTGACAAGAGAGCATGGCGGCTTTTTAAGAATTTCATTTTTAAAACTCTAATACGATTTTGTTCTTCTAACAGCATCATCCTGGGTCTGTGTTTGCTCCCCGTGAGGTCATTATTAAGTGAATTGAATTATTGTTCTGTTCAAATGACCTGTGCGTTCAACGTGTGCCGAGCTCGAGCAAGAAATGTTTTATGTATTATTGGGAGATGGCCATCTGGGGCACAAGCCGGGCCTCCTAACATGCAGAAATGTGGGGAGACAGTTTATGTTCAGTCTTATCTATGATCAGAATTCCATTTATAAGCTTTTTTTCATCCACTTGTCAACACTGTTCACTATAGCAACACTGAAAATGGCCAGAAATGAACAGATTTATCAGAACAATGTGAGGTCAGACTGTATGTTTCAATTACTGTATATTGGATTTTTATCATACATTTTACATTTTCTCCATAAAAATAGTAACAATGTAATAAAAATGGAAGTAGTTTTCTTTGATCAACTTCTAGTTAGTGTAAGTTACAAAGTGAATAAGATAGATTTCATGACTTTTAATAAAGGGTCTCACATTATATATGTATGTTTTAAATATAACATGGTCGTCCATGCCAAGAAACATGGATTAATTTTTTTAAGTCTGAAGAATACTACTCTTCCCTTTCCTGCATATTTAATGAGACAGCATGGCAGTATGTAAAATTAAATTTTAAACTAGAAGGTTACATTTTACCACACCCTCCCAACCTCTTCATATATTTTTCAAGTAAACTTTTGATAACGCTGAAGGCATGTTGGACCAAAGGAATGATTTTACAGTATCTTATAGAAGGTCTGTGTACAATATGATTTTACACTATATTTCATAAGGCATATATCTTACATAAGACACCCAGATAGTCTGTATTACAAAATGAAAAGATTTTCAGGTATCTTTTTCTGGTTGTTTTTCGATGTTGTTGCACTGATACCTCAATTGACAATAGGAATTAACCTCATGATGAAGATGACAATCTTACAAGGGGAAGAAGACTCTTACAAGTAAGTCCTTCTGACTTCCCTTCCTCCCTCCTTCCTTCCCTGCACTCTTTCCTCCCTTTCCTCCTTCCTCTTTCTTTTTTAAAATAAAAATCTTCTTAAAAAATCTTCTAAGTTGGATAAACTAGTTTTGACTTCGGACATACAACTGTATGGTTTAAATATATCTGGATTTTAATTTTCCTTTAAGTGGGAGATGTTTGTTAGAGAAATGACTAGTATCAGCAAACAGGTAGAGAGATAAGCTTTGTTCACAAATGTATCCCTGGAGTCATATTACACTCACTCACCTTGAAAGTATCATAATGAAAATGAAGATAATGATGATGAAGATGATATAGCCATGATAACTAGCATTCAATGAACACTATGTGCCTGTGACCAGGCTAAGTGTTTGACAGGCATTGTCTTATTTGCTCTTCACCGCAACCCTCTGAAAGCAGATGTCATCTTTAGATGAAACTATGTTTCTGAAGCTAAGAAACTTACCCAAGGTCAATTATGAGGGTCCCATTCTAGGTCTGTGTGACCCGCCCCCAGGGTTCTAGAGAGACGGAAAAGGTAGAATATGTGATGACTATCCCCAGTTTCGACCAGTCAAAGAGTAGACATCAAGCCAAGTAGAGGCCAGAGGCTTTGCTGTGGCTGTGAGCAGCCTCAACCTTCTGAGTTTAAAAGTGTCCAACCTGGTCTTGCTTTTTGTAGGACCTGAAGCCCTTGGCTCGGACCCAGATCACTTCAGCAATTCCTTGCTCTATATCTTCTCCATATCCACCTCTCTGGTGCACTTTAATATTTCTGTTGCAGGTGTGTTTATTTAGTATTTGCTTGATGTTTCATATCATGACTCTTCTTTCCTACTGTTCTGGAACACACATCTCTTACAATGGACAAAATGGAACATCTGCCTCCTTCTAAATTCCCCAGCTTTTGTTACTATGGCTCAAGGCAGGGCACTGCTGGGACTAGAGATTGTGCCTCGTCCAAAGAGGTTAGCTGGCCACCCACAAGTGGCCAGAAACAAAGCACTCAGCACAATAAGAATAGCAGTGTCATTAGCTGACCTCCTGGGATCTGAACTGGAAAACTGGGGGAGTACTGATCCATAGGAGTAAAGGCAGAATGGAACAGACACTCTGAGGAGCAGAGATGCCATGCAGCAGAGGCCAGAAGAGAGAGACCTAAAGAGTGGCTGGCCCTAAACCTGTCCCAGTTTTTCCACTTACAGTCTCTGCATATGTGTCCTTGGACTTTTTCTTAGGGAGACCTTAGTGAGGCTCTGTTCCTTGTACCCGCAAGAACCTGGCAGTCCATATAAGCATCTTATCACCAACACCCTTCAGTGGCTTCTTTTTTCCACCTCTGTCCTTGATGGTTTAATTAGGAGGGATAATAGTCAGGATCCTCTCCTTTGCAAGTGACAGAAACCCAACTAAAACCACCCTAAGAGAGAAACAAACTACAAACCAAGGTGAGGACGAGAAGATGAAAGATGTGCCACAGGAATATTTGCCAAGGGAAGAAGGTCACGCACCCACAGTTGGGGCCCAAGAACATAACACCTGATTCTAAGCCCACCAGGAATAAATGATTGGAGTCGGGGAAGAGTAGTTCGGCCAGGGAACAGGAAGACTCCTCTGTGCAGACAAAACAAACCACATCTATGAAAAGAGGTGTAGCTATACAACTTTACTATACCATTTACAAAGAAGGAGAAGAGCAAATTGCTCTTTGTCTCATTTCCCAAGGTCTTCGTGCAGACCTACTCCACGTTCCCTGCCCCATCCCAGATCGCTGGTTCATCTTCATTACCTGAAGACATTCACTCACCTTCACCTTACAGTCATCCTCACCACAAGGCCCAGCAACTTGAATGAATTGAGGACCTCAGAAGAGAACAGTGGAAGCTCTCTTTTCTTTCAAGCTCTCAATGTGTGATCCATGGACCAGCAGCAGCACCTGGGAATTAGTTAGAAATGCAAATTTTTAGGCTTCATCCCAGACATGCCAAATCAGAAACTCTAGGGGTGGGGTCCAGGAGTCTGTGTTTTACAAGCCCTTAAGTGATTCTGAAGCTGGCTAAAGTTTGAGGATTTCTGCTTTATGCCACCCTTTCAACAGTCCCTTGTTCAGATGGTTTATCCAAAGCATTCCCGAGTGAAGCCTGTTGGGTCCCAAAATGTTGTCCTATCATCACCACGCGTATTTCAGCAGGGCCTCTATGTGTCCACTCTGTGGTGCCACTATGCACTATGCTACTACTATGCATCTATTCATTGCCATCTGGGGCATCCAAAGAGATCCCAAGGAGAATCTGAAGGATAAGGGCAGATAGAAACATTCTATAGGGTTCTCTTATATGGCTCATTCACGGCAAGGTACTCCTGCAGTGAGAATGTGCACTTTCCTGTGCAGGCACAAACACATACATCTGAAGTATACTCGGGGGCACTTCTTTGTGTCAGTTACACAGGCTCATTGCGGACCCAAAGACGTTAGCGGTGGTTTCTTTTCTTTCTTTCTTTTTTTTTTTTTTTAAGATTTTATTTATTTATTAGACCGAGAGATAGAGCCAGAGAGCATGAGCAGGGGGAATGGTAGAGGGAGGGGGAGAAGCAAAGCAGGCTCCCAGCTGAGCAGGGAGCACGTACCCAGGGTCAGTCCCAGGACCTCGGGATCATGACCTGAGCTGAAGGCAGACGCTTAACCCACTGAGCCACCCAGGCGCCCCTTAGGGGTGGTTTCTTGGAGAATCCTCATCTTCTTTATGCATCTAAAAGGATTTGCTTAAGAAACCTCATGGGCTTAAAGAAGAAAACTTGAGTCCCAAGTGTCTTCTTGCCCAGTTTTCCTTTTTATATTGTTAGAAATCTGAGCTCATGTTTTTTTCTGCACCATGAACATCTTTAGGGTATCTTATAAATGCTGTGCATCCAGTAAGTGTGGAGGAGACAAATACTGGTGGCCCCCACTGCTCTTGCTTCAAGCCATCAGTAATGATTTCTGGCCTCTTCATTTAGAAATAGATATTTGTTTGCATATCTTAAAGTTCCTAATATTAAAATGTCCCCACTTACTACTTAACCAAAAAATTATTCTAAAACAGCTTGATATTTAGAACATGAACTTATCAATATGTACAATACAGACCCATGTTTTGGGTAAGTATAATTATTTGAACACCAAAGATCATAAGTATTAATAGCAAATGAATTTTAATTTTTGTCCTTAGGATCCTCTGGGTGCAAGAACTCTTGTACAGTCATCTAATCTACAATTTCACCTTTAAGCCGAAACTGCTTCTGCCAGGAAGGAGTTCTCATCCCAGAGTAAAAGGATTTGCAAGCAAGGATTCATAACAGAAGTGCCATCTCAGCCTTATTGGTGGGATTGTGAAGTGATAATTTAATTTAATTACATGATAATTTAATATCCCCTGTGTTTTCCTGCAAGTACTTCGAGGACAGTGTTTGGAGTGGCAGCTAGGTCTTTGACAGCGTAGTTATTCTAGTGGAAGGTGGAATTGTACCCACAATTACTAGCTAGATTTTTTTTTTTAAATCTCAATCTCTGAAAACATCTAGCTCATGTTAACACAATTTTTTTAAAATAAAATAACAACGTTCTTTTTCAAGGTCATTCATTTGCATTCTTGTAAACAGAGTTGCACTTCCAGAAAATAGTTGACTATTTATTTGCCTGACCACTGACTTAAGCTTTCTTCTCTAAAAGAGGAAAAAGAGACAGCACCTCCCCATTCCTTAGTTATATCACCAGTTTCCAAACTGCCTAGAAATCTGTTGTCTTGGCTTCTTCAGTTAATTCAGGGAGTAAAAGACAGATAGGACTTATGCCAGATTTCATTTTGTAGTGAATTATTTAAAATTGTTTAAAAGGATAAATATGCTGGAAATTAAATGTGACAGACTGTTAAAAATCGCCCAAGGCAATTTTTAGAAATCTTCAGATTTCTACTCTACTACCTTGGGTAAGGAAAAATGGTGATGCTGATTACAAAGAGAGGAAAGTCAGAAGGAAAATTTAACTTGTTAAGAAGAGGCTGAGTTTAGCTCCCATGTGGCGAATTTGTGGTATAATCCAGTGTAACAGCTCTGTGGTGTGCCACCCAAATTCCACCTTCAGGACCCAGGCACTCATTCTCCCAGCTATTAGGGTCGTTACCTGTCCACGACTCAGAGCTGAGTCCCTTTCTAGAAATGGCCCTTAGCCAAAACTGTCTTGCCCAATGTTATGTTTCTTTCTGCAGGGGTAGCCCACATCCCATGACTGGCTGATGAGGGGGTACCAAGTCCTAGCTCCCTTGCCTCAATTTGGGGACCTCTCTGAGGGGCAATCCACATTCAGACTTCGGTGGGATTGGCTGCAGCCTTGTTGCAACAGCATCACAACTGAACTTCACCTTCTGTCCGATCTTGCTTTCCTCACCCACTTACAGGTGTTGTTTTCCAAAGCACATCCTGATAAAATTCTTTTTTTTTTTAAAGATTTTATTTATTTGAGAGCGAGAATGAGAGAGCATGAGAGGGAGGAGGGCCAGAGGGAGAAGCAGGCTCCCTGCCGAGCAGGGAGCCCGATGCGGGACTCGATCCCGGGACTCCAGGATCATGACCTGAGCCGAAGGCAGTC